TTTGTTTGTTTTTGTTTTTTTAAGACAGTTTCTCTGTGTTACAGCTCTGGCTGTCCTGGATCTTGCTCTGTAGACCAGGCTGGCCTTGAACTCACAGAGATCCTCCTGGCTCTGCCTCCTGAGCACTGGGATTGAAGGTGTGCGCCACTGCAGCCTGGCAGTGTCTCTTTTGTACAGTGAGCTTAGTGGCATAGCTCTGTCATCCTAGCACTCAGAAAGCTACTTCAGGGCAGTTGCAAGTTCCAGGCCAGCCCTGTCTCTGTTGTTGTTGTTGTTTTGTTTTTTGTTGTCGGGGGTTTTTTTTGTTTGTTGTTTGGTTGGTTGGTTTTTTTTTTTTTTTTTTTTGGTTTTTCGAGACAGGGTTTCTCTGTGTAGTTTTGATGCCTGTCCTAGATCTTGCTCTGTAGACCAGGCTGGCCTCGAACTCACAGAGATCCACCTGCCTCTGCCTCCCGAGTGCTGGGCTTAAAGGCATGCACCACCACCACCCGGCCAGCCCTGTCTCAAAACGTACATGTATACATAAATACATACATATCTATCCTGGTAGGTATGAAACAGTCTCATTGTGTTTTTTGGTTTAGTGTTTTTGAGATAGTCTCATGTAACTGAGGATAACCAGACCCTGATCCTCTACCTTCTAGATGCTAGGCAAAGTGTAGTCAATAGTTCCTTACTCCAGGGCTGTGTATGGTGGGCGAGGAAATAGGATTAAGGGCTAAAAAGGGCTGGGCATGGTAGCACATAGTTTAATCCCACCATTCAGGAGGCAGAGACCGGTGAATCTCTGAGTTTGAGGCCAGTTTGGTCTTCATTGTGGGATCCAGGCTATCGAGGTCTACATAGTGCAGGTACCTCCCCAACAAAAACAACAACAAAAAACTTTATAGAGAACTTAAGAAGCTAATGATGATAAATTATATTTTTTCTGTTTTGTTTTGTTTTGTTTTGTCCCAAGACAGGGTTTCTCTGTGTAGCCCTGGCTGTCCTGGATCTCACTCTGCAGACCAGGCTGGTCTCAAACTCACAGAGATCCACCTGCCTCTGCCTCTTGAGTGCTGGGATTAAAGGCGTCCTTTGCCACCACTACTGGGCTGATACATATGTTTTTGGATGCTGAGTGTCAAACCCAGGGCCTTAAGCATGCTGGGCAGCCTCTGCACTACAGCCCCAGCCCTCCTGAGTTCTGAGATGACAGGTGTGAACCACCATGACTAGCTTCCATTCTTTTGTTTTTACAAATTTGTTTATTTTATGTGCTTGGGTGTTTATCTGCATGTATATCTGTATACTACATGTATGTGGTGCCCACAGAGACCAGAAGAAGGTATTGGGTCCCCTGGGACTACAGTTAGAGGTGTGGGTGCTAGGAATTGAGCCCAGGTCCTGGAAGAGCAACCAGTGCTCTTAACCGCTGAGCCATCTTTCCAGCTCTTCATTCTTTTTGAGCCGGTCTCGTATAACCAAGTTAGTCTCATATTTTTCCTATGTGACCAAGACTGACTGAACTGATCCTCCTGCCTCTGCCTCCCAGTGCTGGTATGATGTGTTTGCCACTGTGGCTGGAGTGGGTTTCTGTCTGTCAGACTTCTGATAGCAAGTCTGACCTCACTCTGGGTTTCTCTGTGTAGTCCTGACTGTCCTGGAACTCACTCTGTAGACCAGGCTGGCCTCAAACTCCACCTGCTTCTCAAGTTCTGGGGTTAAAGGTATGCACCACCACTTCTTTCTTAACTAATCACTCTGGTTAGGACCTGTGTACCATGTGGCATAAGAAAAGGTAGAAGCAGGCATCTTATCTTCTTCGTCAGTTTTCCAACAAAGCCTTGAACTCAGAGATTTGAGTGCTGGGATTAAAGGTGTGCACCACCAAGTGTGTGTCATGGCAGGAATGTGAACGCTGTAGGATAACCCAATGGAGTCGGCACTCTTCTTCCATCATGTGTGTCCTGGAGTTGGAACTTGGGTCATCACCTTAGTGACAGATTCCTTCACCCATTGATCCATCTCCAGCATGTGTTAGGAGGTTCTTGGTGGGTGCATTTATAATTGTCCCTTCCTCTGTGAGGAGTGTTTCCTCACATGTCTCTTGACCTTTATGTACTTAGCAGGTCTCACCCAGAGCTCTAGCACCATTATCAGGGCTCTCAGTTACTCTCCTGGGCATATCTGTTTCCACCCTGTCTGTGTCCATGGTTTGCAGTCAGCCTCTACTCAGGGTCACACGGATGGTACTATTTTCTGTCCTAGACTTTGAAGCACATGGCTTATGCTTTTGTTATAGAAAGTTAAGGAAATGCAAGATGGGAAGCTACCATAGCCACCACTGTGATTGTACAATCACCTCTGACCTTTCCTCCTCACAGGAGTTTGAGGGACAGCCGAATGTCTCTCATTTCTTGCCACAAGCCCACATGGGTGTGGGGTGATCTTCTGTCATGGAGTTGACAGTGGCTGAGGAACTTCTGCCACCTGGCTCCTTCTCCTACCCACTGCCACTCTGTACCCCAGTCACTCACATTAGCAGGACGATGGCCCCGTCTTAGTTAGGGTTACTATGCTGTGGTGAAGCACCATGACCAAAAGTAACTTGGGGAGGAAAGGGTTCACTTGGCATATGATTCCTCCTGTTCCTCACGGAAGAAAGTCAGGACGGGGACTCACTCACATAGGGCAGGCACCTCCAGGCGGGAGCCGGGGCAGAGGCTATGGAGGGGGTGCTGCTGCTTGCTGGCTTGCTCACCTGCTTTCTTCTTTGTTTCTTTGTTTCTTTGTTTCTTTGTTTCTTTCTTTCTTTCTTTCTTTCTTTCTTTCTCTCTCTCTCTCTCTCTCTCTCTCTCTCTCTCTTTCTTTTCTTTCTTTCTTTCTTTCCTTCCTTTTTTGGAGACAGGATCTCTCTGTGTAGTTAGTCCTGGCTATCCTAGGACTCACTCTGTAGACCAGGCTGGCCTCATCTCAGATCTACCTGCCTCTGCCTCCCAAGTGCTGGGATTAAAAATGTGCGCCGCCACTGCCCAGCTACAGCCTGATTTTCTTAGTTGAGGTTCCCTCCCCTCAGCCAGCACAGCCCACAGGAAAGGCTGCTTTCCTGGTTCCTGTGGGTGGGCATTCTGTCTAGCTCTGAGGGCCAGTCCCCAGACCCAGGGCCTTCAGTTCTTAGGTTTGCATGTACTTGTGTGTTGCTGAGGGTGAAACTCGGGACTTCATTTATATTCATCAAACACTGCCCCCTGAGCCACATCTATCCCTGGTAGCCAGTTCTAAAGGGCAATACCCCAGCCCTGATGACTTTTTGTTTTGTTTTTCAAGACAGGGTTTCTCTGTGTAACAGCCCTGGCTGGCCTGGAACTCACTTTGTAGACCAGGCTGGCCTCAAATTCTCAGAGATCCGCCTGTGTCTGCCTTTCGAGTGCTGGGATTAAAGGCGATCGCCGCCGCCACGACCACTACCCCACCCGGCACCTTGATGACTTTGGTGGACTCAGCCCTTTCCATCTTCTAGAGGAATCTGTGCATAGGGACGTGGTTTCCCTTCCGAGAGGTGTTTGATGGCTTCTGTCAACCATACAGGCTGTCACATCACCTTCACAGGGTCAGTGCAGCTGTCAGGGGCTTTGAGGATAGCTAGCTGTCTCCCCCAAGGGAGCTGGGAGAGCCATGCGGCAGAGACTGATGTCAGACCCAACCCAGTGGGCATCTACATGAGGGAGCATATGTATGGCTCACGGACATGCACAGAGCTCAGCTCCTTTCTGTTCCTTTGCCAGGCCCCTGCCCTGTCAACCGTTAACTGTGGTATTGAGTGAGGACTCGGACCAGGTTTTTGTCCTGGGTTATGGAACCCTCTCTGATCCCTGGTGTCAACATTTGTGCCTAAGGGACTGTGGAACCTTCCTGGAGCGGATCTCTTCCTAAAGAGGAGAACAACCAGTGCAATGGCAGCCTCCACCACAGTGGGGCCTCTCCAGGCCGACATCTAGGACAAGGGGCCTGTTCTGTGAACCCTGCCTGGGGCTTTGTGGGCAGAGTTGACACCAGGTACCTGAAACCCTGGCACAAGATTGCCACTTTCTTACTGTCCTGTCGTCTGTTTTCTGTCTCTAGTTCAGGATCTCAAGGGGCTTGGTTACGAGAAGGGGAAACCTGTGGGCCTGGTGGGTGTCACAGAGCTGTCTGATGCACAGAAGAAGCAGCTGAAGGAGCAGCAGGAGGTAAGGCCACAAGTGGGGGGCTCAGCTCTGCCCCCTGGTAAAGTGCCACTTGTGTATCCATGTATGATGGAGTATCCATGTATGTATGAACTCCGCTGCCTGAGGAGTTCATGACAGGCAAGTCCCCAGAACCAGCATTAGGAGGGCAGTGCCCATGGCCTCTGGACTGTGCCTTGCAGGAAGATGTCTATTTATTCTCCCCTTCCCCAGCTCCCTCTAGCATCTAGGACCGGGTCTTCTACTAGGCAGGTCAGGTGGGACCACAGCCTGAGAACCCCAGCCCTGCCTTGCCATAGGCCTGCAGCCTGACGTCTTCTGCGGTACTTGCTCTGTGCTGAGTGTCCCTACTCTCGGTGCTGGAGTGTGGATGCTACAGGTTGCAGCTCTTGTCCTGCCCCGATTTCTTAGGCAAGGAGACATCCTCACCAAGTCCCTGCCTGTCCTCTCTGCAGATGCAGCAGATGTATGACATGATTATGCAGCACAAGCGCGCAATGCAGGACATGCAGCTGCTGTGGGAGAAGGCACTACAGCAACACCAGCATGGCTACGACAGTGATGAGGAGGTGGACAGCGAACTGGGCACCTGGGAGCACCAGCTGCGGCGCATGGAGATGGACAAGACACGGGGTGTGCAGGGCATGAGGGAGGGGTGGACCCCATTTATCTGCACCACCTGGCCATGGCACGTGGTCCAGAGATGCTACCTCTGACTCTGTTTCCTCAGTAAGGGGGTGAGCCTCTGTCTCACTGGTCTTGGTGTGGAACACTGGGCAAGGTCGCAAGTCAAGAAAGGGCAACATTGGTATCTCCTACCACCTCATCCCTCACCATTCATTTTCCCTCTTCTCTGGGCAGAGTGGGCAGAGCAGCTAACACAGATGGGTCGGGGCAAGCACTTCATTGGTGACTTCCTGCCCCCTGATGAGCTGGAGAAGTTCATGGAGACCTTCAAGGCCCTGAAGGTGAGCCCTGGGCTCAGACCTGGGGAAGCTGATGGAGGCACTCAGCCTTTCTGTGCCATAGTAGGCACTGGCAGGTAGGGAATTAACCAACAGTGGAGCAGAAATACTTCAGAGGACCCACTCCTTCCTTCCTTCCTTCCTTCCTTCCTTCCTTCCTTCCTTCCTTCCTTCCTTCCTTCCTTCCTTCCTTCCTTCCTTCCT